ATGACATTGTTCTTGTAACGTGAAGTATTAGCCAACTGGAGTGAGTGTTAGCTGACATCTACAAAATTTTTCGAAGGGTAGGTTTTCGACTAAATATCAGTAAGGCGATATTCATGAGGAACTGGTTCTTCTTCTGGTGCCTCATTCATGCTAAGAGGAATATGTTAGTGGTGCAGTTATGTGTATTTGAATTGAGAATTCAACATGATGAACGACTTAGCTCCAGAGGTGAGCAATATAAAGCGAGCGGCTCAGTGAGCATCGAAGTTTCTCGAGAATGTAGTGAAGAGGACAACAGAAAAACGTCCGAATCCGAATCTATGATTCTTCCTGCTGTGAGGTCCTCTTTAGGTCTGCATCTAAGGCATACTCTGCTATGTAAGCAGAATGAAAGCTCACTCAGCGTTATCAAACGGGCGATACGGAGGACGATCATCCCGTACTATGTATGTGAGAGAGTAAATCCTGAGTTCTAACCTACGTCAACAATCAAGCATTGTAAATGCCGCAACATAAGCCACAATGCTGAAAATCCGGTGGATCGGACACACGATACGGTATAAACAATAACACATGGATAAAACCCGTTAGTCCCTAAGTCTCAGGGAGGCAAATTGTTTCCTAGCGAAACACGACTTCCATTAGCTCCGAGTTGTCGATTTGGACTGTTATCTTCACATACAGTTATCCACCATTGTATCTCTAAAAATTATTAGAGGCTATGGTGCCGGTCTCCCAGTTATGGAGTACAACTGCGCTCATAAAAAGTGGGTAATCCTTACCGGGTTGTTTGTTACAGCTTCGTTATCCGGCGACCTTTACGAACTAGGTTCCCCATGAGTTCGAGTTCTATTGCAATAATCAGCTCAGAGAGAAGTCTCCACTGGGGTATTCTGGTGCTTTTACAGCACTTTAGTGATATTGTGTCTTTGAGCCAGCTTTTCCCCGATGAGTACTGCAGCCAGGTTTACTAGGCTTGCGATTAGATCCGGTATTTTCGCGTGAATTTTTCGGTCTTCTCGGATGTTTAGCCAGGCTTGGTCCACATGGGGAGCGAGTGAAGATATCGCATGAGCATCGAGGCTGTCAGTTATGGCTTCGCGTACTCCATCATTTAACACTTTTTCTGAATCTGGCTTTCCAATGCTGCTCAGCGACTGGCGACTGTATTTAAGTAGCCCGTTTGTTGAGAGTAAAGCTGTTTTACGCTAATTTCTGAGACGATATGATCCATTTCGGGTTACATATCTTTAGTAAGTCCACAGGAATATTGCGCCTCTTCTTCAGATACCATGAAACGATAGACATTGACAGTTGCTCGGGATCTGCTACCACAACGAGAATTCCCAGGCTTAACACGGTGCTTTCCTTAACAGGAATGGATAGATTGCTTATAAGTGACCATTATTATGTGATTGATTTCCCTACAGAATTTTAAATATTCATATTTTGTAGATAATTCTTTTAAAGTGACACGAGCATTTTTTGACTATATAGGCTAAATAACAAGTCTCAATAACCTCCATATAAGGACTTTGAAGAGGCAATAATTAAAAATGGAACCAACAAAGGAAATAAGAGAATGGGAAATTGAACGAGGAATGAATGTGTACTTTGTGAATCAAATTAAATCCCACAGTAACATAACAATCTTACGCTGTTTCTCCAAAACACCAGAATACGGTATGTGAAGGAAAATGCAATCAATCGAGGGCTAGTTCGATAGAAAAACCTTGCCATTGCACTGTAATGAATAGGGGCAAGCTAGGGCAAGCTTTTTCAGACAACCAACAAAATCCGCAGACAAGGTTTCGCAGTTCGTTTACTAATTTTCTCTTGATTCACTTCTTTCTTGATAAGACAACACGACGTTGATATTAAAGCATTTATTCATTTACAATAGTGGACGTTTCGACAGTTTTTTCCTATCCAGAACCTGAAAGTGTCAAATGTATAGCCAATTTACTTAATCAAACGTTTTCACAACCTCAGCATATAAAACATCATGTATAAATGTTTATTCGTATACTAAACATCTCTTAAACAATCACCGTTTTATTGTTCTTAAGTCCTCCACTTATTGTTAGCGATTATTTCACAGAATCCTACATAGGTGAGAACTGAGTCTGGTTCAGACCAAGGAATAGATATGGGATATGGCGCGAGGTCACGCGAGATCACCAGCTACTCCGTTTATGGACCTTTAGAGCTTATCCAGAACGCTTCGAGTTTTTTACACGCAGATATTTTACATTCCTGTGCGAGAATGGTGACTTCTACTTCAAAATCTGCTCCGTTATGTCTCCGCGTTCTATGTGCGCCTAGTGGAATACTTTCCTTAACTTCGCGCTTAGTGTCTAGGTGCTTTTTTGTAAGGATGCTGAGTGATCTACCCGTTTTGCCAATGTATTCGTCCCCAGACGCTTTACAAGAGATTAGGTATAATTGGTTTGGATTAGGTGATTTTATGAGATGGTACCATGTTCTCTTATCACTCATCAATGGTTGTATCGACTATTCAAGGTGTTTGTACAGAAGCAGTACAAATCTCTGCGCCAAGCAACAACTACTCTTCTGCCTAAGTGTCGCTACGTTTCTTTGGCTCGAGCTTCGTGTGTTAAAGGATTGAAGCAAAGTCTAGACTCGTAAAAAACTACTTAAGTGTTTTTTCGGTCGAAGTCAAGAAAAACCCATCATATAGATAAATTGTCAGGTGCTACTCTTCAAATCTGTGATTATGTCAGCCTTTTTACTACATTCAACTAGTCTTCATTAATTCTTCACTAATAGTTCATCCATAGAAAGAACGACGTTAGAAATTTAAATAATCATTCTCGTTAGGGAGGGACGTTCTGATTGAGGCAACTCTAAAGTAAGATACATTATAAGACCTATGGTCAACGCTAAGAATACAAGGCTGAGTACTTCCAAAAGTGTCCTAGGAAATAACACCAACAACCTGGCTAAAAATGGTGGGTAGACATGGATTTTTTCCGAACGCCTCGATTAACGTGAGGAACTCCAAACACGGTCATTCAAAAAGGAAAGATCACATGTTGTTCAGATTCTTAGATGTTCACATCCTATCCTTATAGCGTTTCGCTGCTTTGAAATCAATCCAATAATGACTAGTGAGTGGTAGATTACGGTGAAAAACGCCACACAATATCAATGCTCGCTACCCGTGAATACAGGCCATTTTCATGTAACCGTCACCTCATTTTGAACAAGCCTCAGCCGGATGGAATGAGTGTGTGGTTCCTGCGTGGATATCTTCACACGAGACGGAGGATGACCAAACAATCCACATTCATTCACCATATCCGCTTAAACAATTTCTCCGTTAGCTACGATTGTCTAGTCGAATAAACCTTTCGTCAACCTCGTCCTACCCCAATAATTTAGTAAGGTATTATTGTTTAATTACAGATATACTAGTTCAATTTGAACCCTGGTGCACCGCATACGATGGTCTACTCTCACCAGTCACGCCAAAAACGGCAAGGGTTCTCAGCTGAGAGCTTGACATCGCTCTCCATGCGCTTCTACTGAGATGTTTTTAGCTCTCTTACAGCCCATGTGATTTCTATTTATGCGATTGCGATGATACGGTATTGTTCCAGGAAATAATGCTTTTAAGCACATACTGAAACAAAGGACTACATCATTGAGTTTGGAAAATGGAAGCACTATGAAATTCTCTAAATATGAAGCTCCTTGACGGATTTCTATGCAGCATATAACGGAGCTTTTAATGATATTGAGCGTCTTTCGAGATAAATTAAAGAGGAACTGTTGAAAAGTACCACTGCCTCTTGTTAACAGCTCAATTTTCCCATTACCGATTTCACGAGTGGTGATTTCTGGCGAACTAAGGTTTGCAAAGGAGTGCCAACTTCAATGGATATTTGCGTAATGGAGCCCGGTGATTTTCAGTTAATTTGATTCCTCCTCCAGCAAGAATTCCATGCTAGATATTTGCACATCTGCTGAGTTGCTAGTGGTCCAAACATTGACTAATCTCATACTCGATTTTTCTTAAACCGATAGTGTTCTTCACCTTTGAGTAAACATTTGGGTTGGTCACTAAGTCTATTCGGGCAATGTATAAAGTTAAGGTAAACAAAAACGGGATCAAAAGTAGTTTAACTACTCAAGTTTGAGGTTACACTGTGGTGGAAGCAGAAGTAACGTGTGGCAGATGACAATCATTGTTTTTCCGCTAAAAGATTACTGGAGTTTATTTTTAGCACTTATTTAACACACGAACTTATTTAACACACGAATAAAGTTTTCATTTTTTTGTTAGAGCATGAACATTGGTAATACATATGTTATGTCGTATCGCACACCTTGAGCCCTGAACGGATTACTTTCGTTGCTTTCAGACAGTTCCCAGTTACAAGACGGCATAAAAACCAATATCAGTAACTGATTGGTAAAGAAATGCGTTAACCCAACTATCTCAAAATCAAATGGAACAGTTCAATCACCACAACACCTAACTTTGGCAAACAACACGATGAGTTCACCGTGCTCTAATAACCTATGAAAAGTGAGAAGGAGTTAACAGTGATCCTGAGGAATAATAACATTCTGTGAAACACCACTTGCCTATACTGGGAAATTAAAAGTCTTTTCCTTTAAATATATATTTCTTGATCCTTATTTCGCTAAGAAGAATGCGGCGAAAGCAGCATGGTGAGAAAACTTTTGAACTCGTGTGAATCAACTTCTATTCTCCAATTCCAGAAGCCACCGAACCGGCAACAGTGACTAAGTGGTTCGTGCTACTAAATGCGTGTTATACTTAGGAAATAAAAAAGGTCTTCCTCTGATTGACGTGAGCAGCATTGCCAACTTGCAAATAGCCAATTTCTGATTTTGTCTGACCGACTACTTTTTGGTGAATTCAGTATCACATGATAAAACTCAATTACAGGACTTTCACGAAAAGAAGATACTAAAAGCCTCACGCTTTTTAGCATGACGACTTTTTCTTATTGTTTTCGGTAAAGTGACAACGGATGGCGCGCTTTGCTCTGCGTTGGAACGAGTTTTTTTCACAGTCGTCTAAAACTCGTATCGGGAACTTTTTACTTCGTGACGAAAATTTACATGTGATATAAGGCAGATAAGAGAAAATAGTCATCAGTTTAAAATATGTTTCGAAAAATACATCGAAAAATGAAATTACATCTCTAAAGAAGTATGCAGCGAACATAATATATAAGCACAGGGACCACTATTGAGGTTTTCTCTGAGTACTTGAAGACTTCGAATAGCCCACCTTCGTACATTCGTCTACGGCCGCGTGAAATTTTGAAACGTCATACCTCAACGTTAGTAGTCTTAGCAATAGGTTTGCCATGTGTACGAGGTCTTCCTCTGATTGACGTGAGCAGCATCTCTTTGAAGGACGGATTTAACCATGCATACAGGACGGGATTAGCCACATTTGTCGTCATTGAAATACTGAAATAATAGTTTTCTTTAAAATACTCGAGCATGGTTGCATGGTTTTAAAATCCATACAGATGAGCTATCATAGAAACGATGTAAGTGTTGTCACGTTCGCCATTGTTGAAGAACCCGTCATCATACTCGATGATTAGCGAGTAGACGTTGTGCGGAAGCCACATAAAGCCAAACAGCAGCACCTGAAACGGCTCCTTCTTAGCATCAAGGAATTAAAACAGAGGTTCTTTGGTATTTGGTTCGATTAGCTGACAATTTCCATTGCCACTCAGAAGTAATGCTTGCTCGCTAAAGACGACGAGTAGGATGATAAATCTGAGATCCGTATTGAATAGCAGTCACATTAATGGCGCTCTTATTGTGAAGGCCAGTCTTTGAGCGATATCAAGCATTTCATTTATTTCCTATTTATGTGACACTAACTCATACATTGGCGGATTCCAGGACTTCTTTCATTAGTTCGTTGTCCAGCAATCCTTGTCCGCAAGGTTTTCAGACATGTGTGGGGATTCGGTTGCCAGTTAAGCACTTTTTCTAATTCATGAATGTGGTTAAGTGCTGGTCGAGTTAATTCTCTTTGGATTTGGATTTCGGGGATAGCTTTAATAAAGCATTTCCAAATCTACATCACGATCAGTCGTCGGCCTTTGTGAATCGGGGAGAGGGTCTGCCAAGCAACTTTAGCAGCCCATTTTCAGACAATGGAGGTATCGTAGAACAAGTTGGTATAGTGAGGGACCAAACCACTGACGACGTATTATTGTGCGGCATTCTTAGCTGCGCCTTTCCCATATACTATCAACCACTGCATAATAAGTAAAACGACACGATGTGAGCTTAACAAGAAATGGAAAAAATATTTGGGGTGAATAGACATTTCAATCACCGGGTGAAGAATTTAAACATCAATAATCTCACATCGTACTCACCATGGACAGCAGAATCATAGTGGTTCTTCTTTGAGACGTGAGCACCGAAAGACGTTGCTGCTCTTCAAACGTAACTTTGTGAGCTCCATCTTCCTAAATAACAAATTCTCCCATTTTCGATTGAAATATTGAGTACATTGAGCATGAGAGATTACTAAAGTAAGAAAAACTGTAGAGCTTATTAAGTTTTCACAATTCTTGTGAAAAAATGACGCAGACAAGGAACCAATCATGCACTCTGTAAACGAACCTTTTTCACTGATGGAGACGAGTTTCCGACAGAACATTCCATCAACTGCGTACGCTCGTTAAGCCTCTTTAATTTGGACACGGCTCTGGAAATTAAAACACTTTCGTGTCTGATTTTTATCGATCGATAGAATATGGGATTTACTACGTGTCGAATGATCGGCCATTCCAAACATATCAGCTACCTTTCTCTGAGCCTGGCGAATATCGTGTAGTAGCAGACAGCCATAGTGGCGAATGGTAGTATGAATTGCATCACCAAAACCATGAAAGCATAGCACTTACGTACTTCTGGTGAAGGCCAATTTTCTGTGCAGAACTAAAACTGTCAGTCCTATGTATGTTTTATACAAAACTAAACACGATTTATCTCTGTAGCTTGTTTCATTTAATGCTTATAGCAAACAGTTTTTCTTTTAGTTAGCAATTCTGCCAAGTATTTTTACCGCTAGTTGTTCCTATTTGGAGAAAATCATCACTATTCGACTAAACTGATTTTTGTCGATACCGCTTCATCGTGGTTGGAAGGTGTCCCTGTGCACCGAGCTGCGATGTACAGCGGGGGAATTCATATCTGGTCAGGATCTCCCAAACTGAGAAGGAGTTCGGCGTCTTCATCAGGAAATCTAGCTAAAAGTAAACAAATATCAGGACCGACCACAGCCCTGGTATCAAACCAGTCGCATGTTGGCAAATACTCCTTCTGATCCATAAGAGATGCAAGTCCTTGTACTGGAGACGACCTGGAGCAGAATTTGGCAAGGCTGACCTAACGACTCCAGGGAAACGATAGCTAAACCAACAAAACTCCGAAAAATGGAAATTATGATAGGGCCAGCCCAACTAATGAGGACGGGTCGTCCAAGTATCCAAGTAAGACTGTTGTGGTCAATAGCCACACAGCAGATATTCCAGCCTAAACGAAAAGTGCTAGACATACGGCAGTTAACTGGACCTATGCCTCTGTTTCATTAAGAACCCAGCAGGGTTTAATAAAAAGTGGCTGTTTTGACATGGATGTAATAAACGTGTCGATTGGGTAGTTCTCTCTCAGTATGACCATACTGTGATGACGAAGATTTCAGTAGTGTTAAAATTTCAACGAAATACGAGAGAAATCTAGCCAGGAACCAATTCACTGCTCACCTCTCCACATAATCCTCCAATTTGAACAACATCCATATACCAACCGTAAGGCATGCACACTAGAACCGAGACGATCCACAGTAGCAGCGCGACCACGGACGCACCTCGTGACCGTAAGGGATGTCGATGCGGTCGTACCACCAGATTATATCTGAATCACACTGCGTTTTTGTCATACAGAACCAACAACGATTCTTCTGCCTAACAATGTATAAATTTTTTTCAGGTGCACAATAACAGTGATGAAAGAGTAAAGGCTAAATCGTAACGTGGTTGGAAATATATTTTGCACAAATTAGAGAGTTGGCCGTTGGATCAGCGATTGGCACCAAGCCTTGCCATCGCTTCTATGCCTAAGATAGAAGCTTCAGTGCTCCATGACCTGCTCTACTGTTGATACACAGACAAATGCTTCATCGCATGTTCCACACAAGTACAGATGGACGACTACTTTGAAATCTTAAATAGGCAGCCGAAGTATACAAAATTCAGGCAAGAAAAACTAACCGAGAACTGGCTTCCGTTCTTAAACATCCAGATAAAGCTTTCAGAAAGTGGTTACATAACAAAATGGCATCGAAAACTAAGTAGCAAAGATATACTAGTGTACACTACCTCACCTCTCATCCTTCACGCATGAAAAAAGCACTTACAAAAACATGTGCAGAACAGCTAAAAATGTGTGCACAGAAGGGGGAAGAATGGAATCCGTAAACTTGGCGCGAAAAATAGCCATTTCCAATGGCTACGAAGTGGAAGCCACTTGGGTTAGACCAAAAGGTGGGGTTATTCCCCAAAATGATGTTTAGAACCTAAGACCGTTCTCACGCTACTACTCATATCGAACGAAATAAGCCATGCCTTTAACAGATGCCTAAGAAAAAGTGATCTCGAAAATTCTGTGACGGTTAATGACCTTCCACCCAATACACCACGCTCTCAATTAGGTCGCAACCGCTTATATGATCTTTTGTGCAACTCAGAAATTTTGTAGTCTGTGCTAACGGGAGAGACGGGGATTGCATGAGTTCAGGTGCAATATATTTAATCTCATGTAAGGCATGCATGAAGAATACATTGGGAAAACGGGTAGACCACAATGTGTCCGTATAAAAGAACATCTAGATGGGAAAGAAAAGAATTAACAAAGCACTCCTTTAGATATGCACAGGGCATAAAAGTTTAACATTAATGACTTTGAAGTGGCAGTCCGTATCCTAGAGCAGGAATCAAAAACATCAACGCGCAAGACTCTCGAGACGTTTTGGAAAAATTTCAAAAGTCTAGAGATCAACCCGAAAAATGAACGCCTCATTATCACACTTGATCTGGAACCCTATTTTAAATTGATTTCCTGACCTGTGTGGTCCTACTCGTCATCCTACTTGAACGAAATATGGGCGGTATATGCAACAGCACGGTGAGCACGGTGAGCAGTTTTTAAACAAAATAGCGTTCAGTTATATGTTAGATTTTCATTTATGCACCGAGTTATAACGCTATTGGTACATAAAATACGTTCAGGCTCTGAGGAAGGCGAACTAGCCAAAACGTCAGCCATCGAACCACAGCAACAACAGCAAAGACAATTTATACTAACTTCCACCAACTCAGTAAAGGGGGTTCGTGAGATTACGTGTAGATATATCGGTTGTTTATGCCGAGATTTATAGAAAGCCGGTCTTTTGAGTTAGAAAGAGTGAAGAGTTCGGCGTTGATTAGTACCTGATGGGTACGCAATGCATTTGACTTCATCAAACGTCATTGAAGTGATTGAATGCATACTTAGCCTATACAATGACTTAAAGTGGTTTGCCGATGTATGGATTGAGTACAGCTATCCTCTTTAGAATTTAATGGCTAAAAGAACAAATTGGATTGAATATTAGAGGTTTATTTTAAAGGTTTTGTTTAAAAAAAAAGGGCTAAAATTTGTGGCTTATTGAGAAATGGAGTTGAAATTGTTCTCGGTTGTAGTACGGTAAAGGAGTTGCAATACATGATTAAGTATCATTTCTAAACTAAAGAGAAAAGAACAGTACCGATCGAGTGCGATAGCTGAAAGTGAGAATGTCGATACCAAGACTGATGCTCCCTAAAAAAATCACTTGCTTACTGGAAAGAAATATCGACGATTTAAATAACTCTCTTCTTAACAGTTTGGCTCAAGTTATGCACTTCATCACATGAATACGGGGGACCACTCAGACTCAACCAAACTCATGAATAATTAATTAGTTTTCTTCGGTTGACTAACATAGTCAGCGTTATTGATTTCTGGACAATGACTCGTTCTGAGACTATCGTCGTATTTTCAGCTGATATTGTGAGGTTGGGAGGTAACGCTAAGAGGATGAGAGATTTTACTAATCCATTCAACAATTCCAACCACAGTAAGTATTCGAATATCGCGAACCTGCACTAGCGGAATCAGCTTGCAGACTGGCGAAGCGAAGAGCCACGTCTTGTAGACGTTAGTGATCGGAGTGATTGGCAGAGATATCAAACACATCAACACATCACTTGCGGACAAATTCAGAATGAAAATATTCTGAACCGATTGCAGATGACGATTTTTCAACGTCAGATATCTAGAAGAATAACAGAAGAATTAAGCATACTCTCATTACTAACTAGTCTTTTCTTTGCCCTGATTCAGTTCGACAGAGGACATATAAGAGAGACTGTGGGTCTGTCAGGTTCGGTATTTGGTCAAAGTAGAGCAGTTGCTTCAATGGCAACAACATCGTGAAACTCACAACACGGCAACGTTTCCAGCAATGCCTAATATGAAGATGTGAACATAGAGCACTGCGAAGATCACCATGATGTACGGCTCATTGGTCAGATCCGGATGATCGTCCACGTAACGGTGACAAGTGGCGTTGGAGATCGATTCATTTGCCATCTGAAACGTAAACGATCGTAGAATAAGGGATTTTTCGAACGATTATGAGAATACTCCACAAAATAAAGCTTTCAGTAAATAGACAATGAACGTTACAAAGATAACGGTTATTTTTTGAATTAAGTAAAAGAAGATCGATATTTTTAACTGGTTAAAGTGCTAGCAGAACTAGCAAAATATAATGAAGGGAAGAAAAACGAAAGGAAAAAGAAGGAAAGAAAGCAAGGTATATGTGAAAGAATGAATCCACAAGCCTATTTACGCTGGCTTAGCAAGAATGGAAGAGAATCAGTGAGAAAACGAATTCAGAAGAAAGAAACACATTGCAAATACGTGTTTAGCCGATCTTAGGAAATAGTGACGCTCATCAATAACATGGCCAAATTTAGTGTCATGTGCCGATTTTCCCATATTCTGCTTCATCCACTGACAACCGTTGCGGTTTTTCGATAATTGGAATATTTGATGAGGTCGGAATCCGCCCCAGTGCCACCCATGCTGGGAGCGAGATCATGCTTCAATCAGAAAGCTCTAAGCTGGAGTCGATGTGTGACGCTGAACAGCGCCACAGCGAGCTACACGCTATTACCTTCCCATTGAAAATTGTGAATAGAGGGAAACCATCATGACAAAAATGCGGTGCGTTCCGATCGGACTAGTCGAGCCCAATGAGCAGATGTCGTGTGCGACGAAGACGAGTAAAATTTACTTCTAATAGCTCGAATTACTCGATTACTAGGATTACCGGGGGTTACATACGTGTATAAATGTAATTTTTGGTTAAACTATTTTAGAAAAATTATTAGAAATGCACACTTGAGTGGTTTCCACGGATATTAACGACAGAGAAATGCCAGAGATTAGTTGTGGCTAGATTTCTTCCGCTTCTTTTGTATCAAATTTAAAAAAAACTAGGTCCGTTGAATCCATATCTAGTTGGGGTGAAGGTGTGGGAGACAAGTAGTTCAGTGGCATTGATGCTATCCATTACAATCACAATTCTGTTTCGAACCTGCTTTGGCTTACTAAGCCTCTCAGCCCTCCAGGGTCGAGGAATAGCTACTAGACTTGTCTGGAGCAGTCGAACTCACACACGAGAAGTTTGAAGACCTTCGTAGATTATTGAAGTGATGTGCTGGGATCCACAGAGTTGATGTCAAGATCAGGTCAGTAGATGTCAGGTCGTGTTAAATAAATTTTAGAAAATCTAGATAAATATATCCATGTGTGTACATATATAGAGCATATGTTCCATAGGATATCAAATATAATAGAGAAAGAGCACCACCTTGGTGGTAAAATTTTTAACAAAGCCTTTAGAAGGGAAACAAGACGATCATGCAATCACTGGAGAAACAAGATCCACTGGGCCTTCGCTTGTTTAGCGGAAGGGGAATGATCAGCTTATTACGTTGACGGCAGCATGAAATCCAAGTAAAAAGGAGATCTGAGCCGTTCACCAAATCTTAGCAGAACAGTGAATTGGGCATGTGTTCGCCAACACCGCTTCATCAGAAAACGAATTACTGCCATCCCCACCACATTGGAGGTAGATAGATAATGTCGTAAATTCGTAAACAATCGCATGCCCTCCATATATTTTGTGGGCTTCTGAAACAAAGAGCATATTCTGTGAATGGAAGGATAAGCCAGGAAACGTCCACTGTTTCTGCATAGCCAAACAATAGATTTCACTGGAACAGCAGAGAGCAATAAACAATTGAAATGACACCTAATGATTGGAAAATGAATGAAAAACATTGACGTTATACGAATCAGCAGATTCTTGATCACAGAATAATTGGGAGTTTTAGAGAAACCTCCGCGTCAGCACTGATGTCAAATTCTTCTTGTTCGAACAGACGTTGTGGTTTCCTAAACGTTCTGTTCACCTGCGATCGGTTCCCCCCACACAATGAAATCTGCTGCCCTGTGAGAAAAAATTTCTAACAGGTTGTTTCTGCGAACAGGCAGTACCAAATATACCAGATTTTAACCTTTTTTTTAAATGCCTGTTCTTTTTAGCGGCAGGGCAATTTGCGAATTATAACTATTATAATGCATGGTGTGGTGGTGAACGCGTTACTTCCCGGTAAGGAAAATAGCGCGTTCGTTCCCACCGCAGACATCTGCGGTCCAGAGTTTTACAAATATCTCAGCATTATACTAATAGATTTTGCCTCTCTTACCAGTTTCGCGTTTTTCACTGTTGAAAAAATTGTCTATAGATGACTGTAGATGATCATGAAAACGCAAGTCCTCATACTTGTTTTACTTACAACTTGAATGAGTTAAAAACGTCGTAAACGCGGAATGGGTACATGAGATCATTAAATTAGACACACCTCGATTTCATGGAAAACACATCACTGGAGGGATTCCTACATTATATGTGGGCTGGGCAGCTACCTTATGCGCTCCACAAGACATTTTTCCAAAATCTTCTACCTATGGACTGCACTTGCTTAGTTCACGAATGCTGGAGAAGCTTCACGAATCACGAGGAATGGTGCTGAGGCGAGCAGAATTCATGGTGACTGGCAGTTTTTAGCTTAGACAGAACTTCCTTTCCTTGAACTTTCAAAATTAAGGTGGGGCATTCCAGGTAATAGTTCCCATGATCGACTTTCTATTAACCTCGGCATTGGATTATAAATTCGCCGTTTTCTTGTTCAGCAATCGCGAGTTTGTTAAACAGCATACGATTACTTCCATACAATAACACACATACAACACAACCATGGCTAACGTTTCGGCAGTATCGCCTCCTTCAGAGTCGTTTTTACGTGCCTTTCACTGAGGAAGAGTCGCTGATCATAGTCGCATGTGATTGACGACAAATGACTACGGAGTTTTCTGAAGTTTCGGCGATTTCTCCTTCCTCAGTGCCATGCTGTTATAAGTGGAATTTGATTGGAACCTATATTATCATTGGCGCTCTTTGTATGTGACGTATTGATGGAATCGGAGTTTCTTCGAAACAACAGATGACGGCGGAGTCGTCAGCCATATGCGACTCTGATCAGCGGCTCTTCAGTGGGAAGCACGCCAAAAACGGCTCTGACGAAGGCGATACTGCCGAAACGTCAGCCGCGGTTGTGTTGTACGTGTGTTATTATATGAAAGAAAACGCATGCTGTTTAACAACCTCGCGATTGCTGAGAGAGAAAACGACGAATTCCAGGTTATAACCAATTTGGTGGTTTTGGCTAACGTATTACTTAGGGAACACTGATTAAGAAGTTGGATATGTCATTACAGTTTTTACGCAGCAGCCGATTACAGCGTTTCGGATTCTAACATTTGAGGAATCTACCGTAATCCCTCACATCACTAGTGGTGAGTTTAGAGCGGAGAGCTGAAAATTTTGCTATTCTAGGACAACACGAAACATATTTTTCCCTTTTTCTGGTCTTGGCTCATATTTGGAAAACGAAAGAAATTCAGAGAACAAGATTAAATCTGGCAAGGAACGACCGTGTTTCGCTATGTATGTCCCTATGGGCTTCCACTCTTGCAGTGCTAACTTTTGCTTTTAGCCATATCTAAAATTCAAGCGATATTTTATAGGAGTTTTGTTTAATCCTTTAAAGTGATTTAGAAAAATCTCCTCTGGAAGTCTGCGAAGTTCTCAACTCCTCAACTCTCTACTGGCCAAGAAATTTCCGGTAGTTATCGATGAATCAGCACAGCTGAGAATAGATTAATGGTGAAGAGGTTTCACAGAGCCCAGGGTGCATTAAGATTTGGAAAAAAGGCTTGAAAACTTAAAAATTCTCATTCACTCAAATGATCAGTAGCGGGAGAGAGTGACAACCTTTGCCTCATTTGTAGTACTGCTATATATATATATATATATATATATATATATATATATATATATATATATATATATATATA